GAGAGACACATTACACTGAGGTCACCGGTCTTCTCATCACTTTCACCTTTACGTGATCCTGCTTTTAAAATGAAGGACAACAATTTATTTTAGGGATCTGTCAAGGCAGATTGCTCCCTCCAAATCAGGACATGGTTTAGTGGGCATGGTTAATGGTTGGACTCGATGATCTTGAAGGTCTTTTCCAACCTAAATGATTCTACGATTTCTATGATTTCTAAATACAGGTTTTCTGTTGGGGTTTTTGTTGTTTGGTTTTTTTTTTTTAAACAACCAAACAATGTAACCAGCTTAGAATACATAGTACACCAGCAGCATTTTAAAAAGTATTTCAACGTAAGAGGTATAAGTACCAACTAGTAGTTATAAAGAACAATGAAACTCTTTGCATGCCACAGATCTATTCAAGTTAGCACATTCTGTAACTTGGTTTTTGTATTCTGTACCGTTGTTCCTGAACAACGGGGACAACAGTTCTATTATTTTTCCCACTGCTTGCAGAAATTTGGTACAGAGAATGAACAAAAGCCATGCAAATACAAGATACAATGTTCTTGGATAAATGCACCAGTAAAACATGACTTTCTAATATTTTAACAACCTTCCCAAGATAAAACAAAGTCCTATCACTGCATCCTTCTGCAATCAGAAAAGTGAAGTCCTTGAGAGTGAAGTATATTTCCAGAATTACCTCTAAGACAATCCTCTTGCAGAACTCATACACCAGCTAATCTGCTTTCCAAGTGAAGCACATATACATATCAGAGTCAGACAGTATTATTCCCATACTGTCACACTGAAGAGAAGGAGAGAGCTGACAAAAGATCTGTAAAATCATACAGCCAGATGTCAGTAATATAACCTAAATCAGAGCTTTATGTTTTGTTTTTAAGATAACCAAAGTGACTGCTTTTAGAATACGGACACATATGGAAGTAGAGTAGCAATATGGATGAATTAATCTGCTAATTTTACACTAATGGATTAACTAGCCACTATTCTTTGCTGGCACAGGGTGCCCCCAAGAATAAGTTCCTGGACATCTCACACACCTAATCCTCACACACCAGGCAATAGAAAAAAATCAGCAGGAAGAGCATTACATTTTACAACTAGACATTTTTAACAGCTAGACATAATTTGCAGCTAACACCTGCATTCTCTAATAATTTCTTAATAATTTCATGTAAAACTTCAGCAATTCCATGGGCCCTAAGAGACAGCTCCAACAGCAACCCCAGCTCATTCAGTAAACTGCCTGAAGTGTGCCCATGACACCTAAAGCAAGAAAGTAAAGACCAAAACTTTTGCCAGAAATGCTGAACACAGCCAGCTGATCAGGTGCCCTTCGAATTATGATGCTTACAGACATTTAAATGAAAGTACAGCTTTTTGTTATTTTAAACATGCAAGCCTTTTAAAAGTTACTGACACAACTCTTGCCCAAGATTCCTTTCTTTATCCATGTCTTTGTAAGTTTATCAGTACTTTGCAGCTTGCAGATCCAGATTTTGAATCCTTGCACTAAGCATTTGTATGGAAGTCAAGAAACAAGATGAGAGACTGCCAAAGAAAGGAAAACAGCTCCCACTATTCTTAACAAGATGTGGACATCAGCTGCAGGAATTCAGGATGGATCTTTGCAGGTGGAGTACACGAAGAATGTGAATACGTAGAAGTGCTTATGCTCCTGTTTATTCAATTACCAAAAGGGTAGGATTCAGCACAGCATCTTGATACAAAACTGGGACTAGTGTTAATTAAGCTTTTTGTGCCTTTTTGCAAGGGCATTTTCTGCAGCGCATTTTTTATTCTTTTAATATTGCATAAATGAATCATATCCAAAAGAGGGAACAGCTTCTAAAATCCTGAAATTAAAAGGCTCATAAGTTCCTCCTGGAGTGGATGTTTTAGATGATCCTTAATGTGCCTGTCCTCTCCATCCTTTCCTGGGAATGCAGTCACTGATTTTAAGCCAAATTCACCTATAACACTGTTGTGATTCGGATTTAATGCAGAATAAAAACTATTACCAACTATTCCAAATGAATAACATCTTCATGATTATAAATCTTTCAGAGGTTTAGCAAGATGCAGTGATAATGCATTCCAGGATTAAGTATGGCTTGCTATGCAAACAACATAAATTATGAATGATATCTGAATCTAGTTTGTTAATACTGCAAGAGCTGAAGATGACTTAGATCTACATAATGCGTTAGGCAGTTAGAGGAAAAAAAAGCTACGTCATATTTCATATTTCGAAGTATAGAAAAGAAAGATGAAGTGATGTTGCTAGAGTAGGAGAAAAGCATTGGAGCTTGGGAACAGCCTAAAAAAAAAAGTCCCAGGGTTCATTCTCAGTGCGATCCCACTCTGAAATTTCCTGAATTATCTAAATATTTGTGTGAGTGTTACTGCTGAGATTCAGCATGTTCCAAGAAAACAATCCTGGAAACAGATAAATTTTCGGCAAAATGACAGGCATTTTGAAGGTGCACACTGACTGATGTACTTACCTACAAAAATGTAGCATAGGACAGAGTCTGTAAACAACAGTGGTAGGCTGGATTTTTGTCTCTCATGTCTGGCTCCTGCTATGTAGTCATTATCACAAGATGTTTCAGATAAAAAGTAGAGATTATCTCCATAAATCAGTAAGGGCTTTTGGTAGAGAGAAAGATATTATGCACAACTCTTTTTGTGCTGTAGTTTGAGATATCCAGCTGTATGCAGAACTAGGTTACATATGACAAGGACACGTTGCTGTTATTCTCCTCCCAGGTCCCACTTCCCTTCCACTGCTCCCCTATTACTCCCTGTGTGTTTTGCTACATGTCCTGGTTTCAGCTCGCATAGAGTTAATTTTCTTTCTAGTAGCTAGTATAGTGTTATGTTTTGGATTTAGTATGAGAAGAATGTTGATAACACTGATGTTTTCAGTTGTTGCTGAGTAGTGTTTAGACTAAGTCAGGGATTTTTCAGCTTCTCACGCCCAGCCAGCGAGAAGGCTGGAGGGGCACAAGAAGCTGGGAGGGGACACAGCCAGGGCAGCTGACCCAAACTGGCCAAAAGGGTATTCCATACCATGTGATGTCATGCCCAGTATATAAACTGGGAGAGCTGGCCTGGGGGCAAATCGCTGCTCAGGAACTAACTGGGCATGGGTCAGCGAGTGGTGAGCAATTGCGCATCACTTCTTTTGTATATTCCAATCCTTTTATTAGTATTGTCATTTTATTATTGTTATTATTATCATTATTATTTGCTTCTTCTCTGTTTTACTTTTTTTCCCCGATTCCCTCCCCCATCCCACTGGGTGGGGGGGAAGCGAGTGAGCGGCTGCGTGGTGCTTAGTTGCTGGCTGGGGTTAAACCATGACACTACATGACGATGCCTACTCTTTGCACAAGGGCTAGATCTTCCTGACTGGGCCACCAGAAATTCATGCGCAAGTAGGTCACGGGGAAGGGACTGGATCCACCTGAAGCCAAAAGATAGCAATGGGAGACAATTCCACTAACCCCTGTAGCCAACAGTGAGGAAAATGAACCCCAACTGTCCCCTGGCATGCTCTTCATTTCAGGAATGTCCCTCGCCTGTGTCAGCTCTCACACTGACTATGATGTGTTTTTTGACAACTTTCCACTAAAAACGTGTGAGGTATTTGGCAAGAGGAATTTAGAAGTACTCTATAAATCAGACATGGTTCCACTCTGAGAGTTTTGATGGATCTCAGGAGCAATATGCTTGAACTCTAGAGACAAGTTTTCCAACCTTAGGTATCAATCAATGCAGTGGTACCAACAGCTACAGAATGGCCCACCTACAAGAACACCTACATACCTAAACTAAGTCTGTTCAAAGACTTGAAATAATACCATCAACTAAAATGAAGATGACTTCTGACTATTACTGCAAAAAGCTAATATAGGTCAATTTGAGTGTAATAATCAAAAACAATTAAGTAATTTATTGAAATAACTGTGTAACTCTTTTCCATGTGTATAGGACTCTTCAGTAGAAAAAAACTTCCAAAATTCTTTATCCACATTTTGTTAAGCTACATCCACATTCAAACACAAAATGGTTGTGGTAACCATGGCTGCAGATTTGACTGTCATACACCATATTCACTGCATTCTGCCTGCATTAGATTCCTTGCTTTTAATGGAACAGAAAACAAACCTTGAAAAAGTATTATCTGTCATCCATTATGCAGAGCAATGGGAGTCTGGGAACACTCAAGTAACACAGTGCTATGAAATGAGCTGAAGAATTTGCAGGGATAGTGGTAAGTCAGATTGTCAGATTTAATCAGCCCTTTCAATGACCAAGCCAGTGAAGAGTTTTTGCAACAGATTCTCTACTGTTTCTGGATTAAACATGGTGCTGGTAAATCTGAGCTGGCTCCTCATGAAAGTATCTAAATTGCTTCCAGAGGTAAAATGACTCTGGAAACAGTACAGCCAGGAGGTACTTGAGCTCATAAACCATGCCAGTTCTGCAGCTGGCTCTGTACAGGGTCAAAAACCCTCTCTGTCTCCATGATTAAATAACAGCAAAAATATCCTGACTGTTTGTAATCAAGAGCTGCCTGTACATGAATCACAAAAAAATTTTTAATCTACTCATTAAAATTACAGCAGTCAATGACACAGCAGAATATTCAGCCTTGGATGTGTGATAAGCAGGTGCTGATTTAGCTGGTGGTCTGAAGTGGCCCATTAGCCTCAGGCAACGGGAGACATGCTTTTGATACAGTCCATGTAGTATGGATCTACATCTGCCTAACTCCCACACATAGGCTGCCCATTACACCGATAGTATTTTCAAGTCTTGCAGGTGACTCCATAGAAAGAACCCAACTATTTTTTTTATTTACTACCAGCATTAGTGGTATCACAGGCAGCACAACACAATGTATGTAGACACCTGTAGATGCACTAGTCAATTAGAAAGTGTAATTAAAGAAATGAAAGGAACTATACTATACTCACCAGGCTTTACAAGGCTTGTCTTTGACTCCTTCTTATATCGAGCCAGCTGCGGGTTCCCTTCGCTCATTGTCCCTGGACCGAATTTCTTCCTGGAGAAGTCTCCATCACTACCAGTGCAAAAACTGATTGGACTGTTCCCAGCATCAGAAGGAGTCTTAACTGGAGATACTGACTGGCTACTAGGACAGCCAGTGTCATCTGAAGAGAAAAGGGAAAACATCAGCATTTCTAACTAATAAGTAGATGAACATTAGCAGAATTAAAAAAAAAAAAAAAAGGTGTTTGGACTACAGCTGTTCACAGTCAGTTACCTCATATGCACAACCTTGGCTCTGAAACCTGATGGGAAGCTATTAGTTTCTCCCATTTTGTGAAGAAGTCTTGAATACCTTATGGCAGACTAAAATGGCAAGTGCTTGTCACTAAGTCTGACAAAATACAGAATCAGGGGCTACATAATGAAAACTCAGATCTCAGATAAATTCTTTTGACTTACCTAGCTTAGGGCATATTATTGCATGAAGAAATGCATGTAAGACACAAGAATGGCTCGTGTAGTGCACACTGGATGAAAAGCAAGCATGGGCCATACGCTCTCCTTCAAGACATGTTCCTATCCAAACAAGAGAATGACCTACTGCCCATATGCACAAAGGCAGAATTTTCATTTAACTGGAATTAATAAACGCTTCTCAAAATTGTTTTTCCTTTTAAAGCAATCATGATCACAGAGCTCTTCCATTCTTGACAAGTGGCTGTGAGGTACCTGGTTCTGAAGAGGGTGTGTTATACACAGACTGCTTTTGTCTAAAGCCAAATTCCTCTGAGGGCACACTAGTGCATCATGGCATCAGCAGCCACCTTGGGAACAGACCCACGTTCCTGACCTCCAGGAATACAAACACTCCAGCTCTTAACAATTAAATGCAAAGTAAGAAGTCTGAGTCCAGGTGAAATCCACATGTCAAACAGCCCCTTCATCTAATCACATCTCCTGTAATCTTGAGTAATCACAGCTCCCCTAAAAGCCATGGTGGTTTTAGAGATACACAACAAAAACAAACAGGCTACTCTGACACTGGGAAGCCTTGAATATTTACTCTCCTGGAGAAATATAATTGTTTATTCTTTCCCAGGACAAAATGAAAGCTGCAATCTTAATGATGCAATTGCACTCTGCTCCTGGTGCATTATCTCTACCTAACATGAAACTCAAAGAAGTAGCTGCAACAGAGCCAAATAATTTGCATGACCATATTGCACTTACCACGTCCACCCTGTTCATAATTTAGGTCGAGCCTGATCTTGCAATGAGCTTTGCATGGGCAGATTGTTTAAAAAGTCAGTATATGACTGTGCATTTATGAGGCAAAAGGGGCACCCTGTAACTATCTATCTCCCTCCCTGCTTGCCTCCCCTCCTCAGGAAAGAGCAGCTTCTGCTATTGTTAACTATTGCTCCCCCAGCACAGTAAAACAACCTCATCCTTTCATGTGAACCAGTTTTACTTCATGCCTGGCCAGTTACCCTAGCCTCACCTATTTGTTCCAATGTTCTGCTTCTCATTTCTCCGTGTCCTGCCTCCAATGCTGAGCAAGGTAACTGTAGGTGCTGACGATCCAGTGCATGCTATATGCATTAGCACAGTAGCAGCCGGCAGCCTGAGGTGTTGCTGCCCTGGCCTCTGCAAAGTGCCAGACATGATGCCAAGCCACGGGGCCAGCCCAGCCTACTGCCACAACTACCTCCCAAGGCACAAAGGGCAGTAACGATGCAAAGCACCTAATCCAGCTTAATCATATTTCATTGCTTCAAATCAGTTCAATTAAGCCTACAAGCATCTCCTTCTGCCACCCTGCTGCTGCCTTCTGCAACTCAGAATTAGTTCCTAGAAAAATACTGGGAAGGAGAAGACCACTAATAAGGTTTCCAGCCCATCTCCACATTCACGCTGACTAAAGCAGGATTGTTGTCAACATGGTTTTAGTTTACTTTTTATACCTTCCACTCCCATCAACATCACAATATAACTCTACACAGAGAAGGTGGCAATTTCCTCCCAGATCAGTGCCTATTTCCTTCTCCCAAGGGTTCAGAGTCTCTTCTGCAGGCTGAATGAATGCTACCTTCAGAGCAGTGGATCAGCACTGCTGAGTGAGCTTCTGAATTGCATTTAAGCAGCTCCTTTAGCTATGTCCAAAGCATCTTCTCTTTAGAAGCACACAAAAATTTTATACTCAAACACATTCAGAAAAAAGTGCAGGTTCATGCAGTTTATTTTTTTCTTACGACCTTTCTTAGATGTTTTTCTGTGTACCATTATTTTTAAAACTTTGTGTTTTTTAAAAAAAAAAAGACAAGAAACTATTTCCTTCATCTCTCCACCAATAAAATCACTGCAATTGCTGGACAGGTTCTGCAGACGTCACAGATGTGTTTGGTACGGGAGACTTTACATACAAGTAACTCCCAAAGCTATCATAGCATCATAGAGTATCTCAAGTTGGAAGGTACCCATAAGGATCATCGAGTCCAACTCCCTGCTCCTCACAGGACTACCTAAAATTAACCATATGACTAAGAGCATCGTCCAGATGCTCCTTGAGCTCTGACAGGCTTGGTGCCGTGACCACTTCCCTGGGGAGGCTGTTCCAGTGACCAACCACCCTCTCAGTGAAGAAATCTATACGGATGCTACCTGGAAGAACCTCAGAAGCTGATAAAACCTTTAAACAATGAAAGAACTAAACTACAGTGTTAAAAATTAGGGAATTAAAAAACAACTATGTAAAACTAACAGTGATAAGGAAATAGAGCAGGTAAAGAAAGCACATAAAAATAGCATATAAAAAGAGATATTTTAATTACCACTCCCCCCATCATTGCCTCTGATATCACACTGGTGACACTGTATGATCAGATTATATCCTTTCTACATATCCTCGTTTTACCCTTAAGGACTTCAGCTTTTGTTGCAACGGGGCATTTATTAAAGGAACAAATGAGCCTGGCACAAAGAACAATAGGTCTTCTCTACTTATACCCCTTGTGACCTTTAGACACACCAATAACCAGGTGAGCATTCCCACTCCAGCTGAAGTAAATGAATAATTTTATTGTACTCCCTTTCCTCTCATCATTTGTTGTTTTTTATATAATGTGTAACTTCTACTCCTTCCACCTAGTATTAGTCAGAAATGTGAACAAAATTATATAGTTTCCAAATCTAGGGCAAGCTGCAGAAAAACATTTTTCTGTGTTGGCTTTTTGCGGTGCCTTTTGAAGTATCAAAATGTTTACTATCACAGAAGGGAACGGCTGCATATGAAATGCCAGCGTTCACCACCACAGGCAAGCGAAGCTCTGCTGTATGCTGGGGGACCCACCTCCCAGCCGACCTGCAACTCACCGTTCTGGCACAAGGAAAAGTCCTGCTGAACACTGAGGTGCCACCCAACCCCTCTATGCAAGCCAAATTGCCTGCCCTTGCCTTCGTTCTTCCCTGCTACCGAGGCCTCAACAGGCTATTTAATTGTATTTAATACCGTAGGTGAACTCCCCACAGAAGAGCAGCAGCCCTCCCCGCAGACCCTGACGGCGCATCAAGCCGATGCCCCCTCCAGACGGCCCGGCCACCCGCCCCGCTCACCGCCGCAGCGAGCACCCCTGCTCCTCCTCCCCAAGAGGAAGGGTGCAGCCGTGGCGGTGCGGCTGCAGTCTCCCGCAGGCCTGGAGGCTCCTCCAAAATCCCGCCGACAACTCTGACAGAAGGAGGTGAAGACCTCCACCTGCCCAGAAACGGGCCAAGAGAAGGGATCTTTCACCAAAATTGGCAAGGGGCTAACAAGAGCAGAGGAGCCCACGACGGGATTTACCTTCTGCTGAAGACGTGGTGTGAATGTAGTTGCCAGCAAGGTCAGTGTATTGGGTTTGTGTGGTGGGGTTTTGGTAGCAGGGGAGGGGCTGCAGGGGTGGCTCCTGTGAGAAGCTGCTGGAAGCTTCCCCAGCTCCAAGTCAGACCCACTGCTGGCCCAGGCCGAGCCCATCAGTGACGGTGGTAGCACCTCTGGGAGAACAGATTTCAGAAGGGGAACCTGCAGTGAGTGGGGGACTGGAATGTGAGAGGAACCCCTCTGCAGATACTGAGGTCAGTGAGGAAGGAGGGGAGGAGGAGCGGGGGAGGAGGGGATGCCCCTGCAGCCCGTGGTGAGACGGCAGGCTGTCCCCCCCCAGCCCAGGGAGGGGAGCGGGGGAGCAGATGCCCGCCTGCAGCCCGGGGAGAGAGGAGCCCACGCCGGAGCAGGGGGATGCCCCCCAAGATGGCCGGGACTCCATGGGAAAGCCCGCGCTGGAGCAGGCTATGACTGAAGGACTGCAGCCTGTGGGAAGGTCCCAAGACAGAGAAGTTGGTGAAGGACTGTGTCCTGTGGGAGGGACCCCACACTGGAGCAGGGGATAAGTGAGGAGTCCTCCTCCTGAGGAGGAAGGAGCAGCAGAGACAAGGTGTGGGGATCTGACCCCAACCCCCATTCCCCGTCCCCCTGCGCTGCTGGGGGGAGGAGGGAGAGAGAACTGGGAGTGGGGTTGAGGCTGGAAGGAGGGAGGGGTGGGGGGAAGATGTTCTAAGGTTTGGTTCTACTTCTCATTATCCTTGTTTTGATTTGATTTGTAGTAAATTAAATTGATTTTGTTTTTCCCTCAAGTTGAGCCTGTCTTTTGCCCGTGACCATAAGTGGTGAGCGATCCCTCCCTGTCCCTGTCTCGACCCACGAGCATTTCTTTATATTTTCTCCTCATCATCCCACTGGGGCCATGGGGGGAGGAGTGAGCAAGCAGCTTCATGGTGCTTTGTTGCCAGCTGGGCTGAAACCACAACAGTCAGTTAAGGATTCAGTCCTATAAGTCGGCAAGAGTTTTGCCCCACTAAGGATTTCAGGTCCAGACTTCTCAAGAATACAGACTGACCTGATTTACCTTCTCAGGCATGTGAGCATCGGGAAGATAGAAGAGGGAAAGCTGGCAAAAACTGCTGTGCGAGTCCATACTTCTGCTCTTGCCTGTATTATTTACTTGCTCAAGAGGGAAAAACACATGAATTTATAACACACGACTGTCATTGCTTTCTTAGTAATGTTCATGGTGTCTTTTTTCACAGTGGCCTCCGAAGAGCATTCTGGGAGTAGACTTTCCCTTTGAAC